TATGCGTTCCGAAAATGATGGCAACAATGCTACAAGGGTTGTTATTAACGGAAAGGAAGTTAAATGTGATAAAACAAAAAACAAAATGTCTATTACTATAAATGTAAATGTTAATGTTAATAAGTAAATAAATTAAATTTAATTTATTATAGGTTTATAATTTTTTTATTATTCCACTAGTGGATAAAGTATCACTTTAGATAGATGTGGATAAAAGTCCGATTATAAGGTGATTGTGGATAAAATATAAAAAAAATATAATTTCTTATATCCTATCTTACAATTAGACAGTTTGTTGTATTTCACAACAAATATTTCTCTTTGTTGACAATTACATTTGTACAAACAAATTATTTATTTGGCTTGTATGATAATTAAGTACCATCACTATGTATTTTAAGATTAGTTGATAAATGTTCTGATAAATGTTTTGATAATAAATGGTTTATGCAGAATTATTTGAGTTTTGGATTTTATACAAATTCTAACAGCCAATCAGCATAGAATCTTTTGTACATATAGGTACCTACTTACTGTACTTGCATATTTTTAGATCTGAAAGAAACCTCATTTATTTTGCAACAGATGTAACTTATTTAAATTAATGTCAATTAAATAATATTGTCGAATAGTAATCAAAATGAGGTTTTATTATACTGTTATAAATCAAAGATATTAAATCATTACTTTACTTTGTCCTTAAATTATACTTACATTGAAAATTAGCGTGACGTAAAAATAAATGTATGTACAAATATTTTTTATATAGTTTATTATAGATACACTTATTTTAATTGACGATGTTAAAGGTAATCTATAAATAATGAAATAATGTCAATTATTTATAACTTATATGGGTGCAAATTTGATAGGACAGATGTAGTACCTGAAATATACGAGTGTTTTTCCAATTGAAATTGCGTGCACTAGCGTTCTTTTCGATTGAACTTACAAAAATAGCAATTTTTATAAAATTTCTGAACTGGAAAAAAAACACTGGTGCACACATAATTTGTTGGATAACACTAGTGCATTCAGTGCACAGGTCTTTTCTGCAACTCAATTTGTGTATAGTGTTCTTACTAAGGAAAACTGCAAACATACCAACAGTTTTTGTAAAATGTTTATAAATACCCGTTTAGCTGTAAAAATGCTAGTGCACACTTGTGTAATTTGCTAGCATTAGTGTGCTAGTGCTCTCTTTAACTAAACGTGTGAAAATATCATAGGATTTTATATAATTTACACGAAAGACTATTTACCAAAAAATAGCATTTAATGGGATAGGTACTATTAATGCAATTTTAATTGGACAGCTGTAGTACAAATAATGCACGAGTGTTTTTCCAACTGAAACTGCGTGCACTAGTGTTCTTTTCAACTAAACATGTAAAAATACACATAATTTTTATAAAATATTCACAAAAACCCATTTAACTGAAACAAAAAACACTAGTGCACACAAAATTGGTTGGATAGCACTAGTGCATTCGGTGCACAGGTCTTTTCTGCAACTCAATATGTGTTTTAGTGTTCTTTTTAACTAAAGATGCAAAAATATCAACAATTTTTGTAAAATGTTTACAAATACCCGTTTAGTTAAAAACACTAGTACACAGTTGTGTAATTAGATAGTGAGCTAGTGCTCAGTGTAACTGAACTTGCAAAAATACCAATGACCCTTGTAAAATTTGCGTGATTAGCTGAAAAGAGCACTAGTGCACAAATAAGTGCACACTAGTGTTCAGCTGCTGCTAATGCATGAAGAGCGTGGATTTTCTCTGACTAGACTTACTACTAATACTCTTTTCAACTAAATGTGAATCAAGTTTTAAAGATTCCTATGCC